CTAACTGACTCACACCAAGATTTCTCAACCTGTCTCATCCCCACCACCTGGGTTTGCCTGAAGAGTGGGAAGCAACACAGAACCCAATCCACCAGCCTTAAATGACGAGTAGACTTTTTTTTTCCTCTTTGTGTCAATTAATACATCCTGTAATGAATTAAGGGTAGACTGAAAACTATTGGTGTTAGAAATCAGAGTAACGTTTACCCTTGGGGGACAGCATTACCTGGAAGGGGGACGGGAATTGCTCGGCTCCTGGGAATGTTCCCATTCTCCCTCTGGAAGTTCCCACTGCGAAATATTTGTGGGGCTTTACAGTTATGATTTGTCCATTTTCTGTGTGTTTATAATGCTTCAAAATGAAGTTTATATAAAGCAATTCTTAGAACATAGCTTTGGGAAGCATTCATAGATATTTATAACTTAGCTAAAGCCAGAAGGTGAGTTTATTTCCAAAAGAGAGTTAGCATCATGCTGAGACTACTGGGGAAGGGAGAGTAACGACAGAAGAGGTAAAAGGGCAATTTTGTCTTGAGCTTCTGTCTGGAGCTCATTCTGCCCTGGTTCTCCTGGATACAGAATACAAGTTCCTGGTGAATTGGATGCTTTTTCCACAATGCATTCCCATTCTCTTTCAAAGATGGGCTGTAGAGAAGATTGGAATGAAAAGTGCCTTCTTTGGTTCCACTCCAAAGCTGGTAATAGGAGAAGGTGCTTCTCTTGGGTAGTTAGCTTCGGAAAGCATAGAGCCAGTTCTTCCTTTGCAAAGTGGATTGTTTCTTCCAGCGCGGCCTTGCTCCCGTCACAGGCAGAGACCAATAAACCACGGCCACCTGAGCCCTGTGCCTGTATTCAGTAGAGATCGGAGATGCAGAGCTGAGCTAGGAAATTGCTCGTAGCTCAGCAGGTGTCTCTCTATCCTTATCCTGCCTCGTCCCTTCTCTGTGGCACACACATGGAGTCCTGGGGCTGACAGGCCTATGTGAATGTGAGCAGATCTTCCTTCTCCCCAGCTGATGAACCCCCTGCTCTCCCAGGTCTCCATTCAACTTCTGAGAAATGTTTAGGTGGTATAGGTGTTTCCAGGCCGGCTGGCCTTGTGGAGGAATGCAAAATGGAAGTGAGCCTTGAAGAGAGTGCTTCTTTCACTTTTGGGTGTTCTCATTCATGTTGCCCATAAGATCATCATTATCTTCTCAACTGAAATCCCATCTGCTTCTTCTGCACCACCTGGGTCCCAAATATGAGGCTGATGAGATACCATCAATCTTCTGACTGGTGATTTTTTTCCTTCAGACATCAGTATTTGACTGATAGCAGTTGCACAAAGGGGGCCCCCCACAGGCCATCCCCGAGGAGCCCTTCAATTCTGCTGTTTCCATGGAACAAATGAGCTTCGTTAGCAACAGGCCCACATTCTTTTTGTGCCCCTTGTCTTTGTCTCAGAGTAGAAAACGGAACCAAATCTTAGCATTGGACGGAGTCTGTCTCCTGCTATTTTACTGTCATCTGAGCCTTGTCAGGACTCCTGTCCCAGAGGCTTTTCCTCAGAGAAAGCTATTGAGAAAAAAAAGTCATATCTTCTTTTTTTTTAATTCATTTTTATTTTTTTTATTTATACAAGCACTGGGTACAGTCAGAAGCGCGGGAAGGTGAGAGAATCCACCAGAACCAGAGGGGTGAGCAGAGCAGGCAGACTGATGAAGTACACTGCTGAGGGGAGCAGTGGGTGGCAGGAGAGGTCTGTGCACCATGTGGGACCCTCAACCGGTGGCCGGGGATTGAACTGGTGCTGCAGAGGCTGCGGGCAGCTTCGCAACCCAGCGCTCAACCACTGCACCACCGGGGAGGCCCAAAAAATGTCATATCTCCTAAGAAACATAAGCAGATTTGGAGTTAAAGGTAGCCACTCTCGGAGTTGGCAGTTAAAATATTACCACCTTGCATTTATAAAGCAGATTGCATAGGCTGGAATGACATTGGGTATAAGATTATATTGGTTTCAGGTGCACAACATTTTATTTATTTATTTATTTATTTATTTTTTTGGGTTTATATTATATTTGTTTTTTTAATATTTAATTTTTAATTTTTTACAACATTATTTTTTTTGGGTGCACAACATTTTAATACTAAACATTTAATATGCTGCATCAGGTTCACCACCAAGACCCTAGTTTCTGTTGCCCTTTTACCCTGTTTCCCCACTTTTATAAACTTGAATTCACTTGATTCTCTTAATAGCCCTAGGAGGAAATCAGTGTCACCCAGCTTTACAGCTTGTGGGGCCTGTTCCAGGCCACATGGCTGCTCTATATCTTGCAGTAAAGTGTTGCTTTTCTTTTTTAAAACTTATCTTTGGGGCCTCCCCTGGTGGCTCAGGTGGGTTGAGCACAGCGCTGTGAAGCTGTCCGCAGCCTCTGCAGGGCGGGTTCGAGCCCAGCTGGCCTGTGAGATACCCACATGGCATGGCAGACCTCTCATCTCTCCCACTGCTCCCCTCAGCAGTGTATTCCAGTAGATCTGCCTGTTCTGCTCCCCACTCTGTCTCTTGTGAGTCCTCTCACCCTCCCATGTATCTGGCCTGTACCCCAGTTCTTGTATGCATGAATAAAATAAATCTTTTAAAAATTATCTTTGTTATTAATGATATTTTAAGGTTAGTGATCAAAATAGGAAGGCAGCGATATGATTTATGTCAAGATCTGGTTATATTACTGGTCCAAAGCAAACAGTCTGGAAAGACACCCATTTAAAAGCTGGCAGCCTCTATTCCTGCGCCCCTTCTGCCTCCTGACTGTGGGGGCTGCACAGCTAGTCTTCAGGCTTTTCTGCAGAGGAGATTAGCCCAGGCATGCTGAGGTGTGTGAGGGGACCTTAAACTTTGGAAGCCTTCCATGGTCTCCGTAAGCCTCAGTAAGTTTCCAGGTTTATTTTTGCACACTTAATACTCATTGAATTGCCACATTCACTCTGCACATCATAATTCAGTGAAATGGCATAAAATCTGAGAGCTGCAAAGAGCCTTCTGTTAGGTAAAACTATGAAGCAGACCCTTTACTAAGAGCTTTGCTTATATTAACTCATTTAACCTTCACGGCACCCTTTGTTATCCCCATTTTTCAGCTGAAAGAATTGAAACTATCATTTGCAGAAGGTCACAAAGCTAATAAATGGAAGACCTGGGGTTTGAACCCAGTTTAATGCCAGAGTTCAAGGTCACCTAGGACTGCTTCTTTGTTTCATAGATACGTACAGAATTCAGTTCCTGGGCACTTTTTCCACCCTAGGAGATCATCGGCAGAGGAGTTTGCTAAGTACCTCAAATGGACACTAAGACATTTCCTAGAGGGAAAGGAGAGTTGCTGGCGATACCACTTCTTGGCCTGATCTCCTTGACCGCTGTTGTCTAGCATGTGATGGGTTCCCAGAGCTGTGAAGTGAGTGTCCTCTCTCCCTGGAAACTAACCAAGGGCTTTCCCCTGCGGACTCCTGGCATTTCAGTCGCCTGCTAGGGATTTATATTTATGTTTCTTTGTTTTCTTTGATAACAAAGTCTGGTCAAGTTACAGCAATTGGGTTGTAGCTATAGAACTACAGCGCCTGTGTCTTAGCAGGAGTTATAGCTCTACTTTACAGCTTGAGTATTATAGCAGAAATGTCACAGCTCAAGTATTATAGCAAGTGTTTATTTGGGGCTTCAGGATTGCAGTTCTCGGGGGTGGAGGGGGGGAGAGTACAAACTCAAGGAGCACTTGAGCGGAAAGCCCAAGGAGCTCTGAAGGGAGAGTGCTTACAGAGGCAAGAGGTAAGCTTTATGCAATGAGATTTTCAGTTAGTGCAGTTTTGATTGGTGAAAAGTTTATAAAGCAATGATTGGTTGAATTTCAATCTTGCAAGTGGCTTGCTGGTGCAGTTTCATTTCTTGTGGACCGTGGCTGTCAGCATAGACCATGGTTGTCAGCATAGTGGGTACAGTATTTACATGGACCTGACCCTCAACAGCCTCCCCCATCTGTCTGGTTGGTACCCGACTCTGAATGGCTCCATGTTTGTTTTTCTTTTCTTTATCATTCCCCTCCACCTTGATCAAAATTTTTCCTCTGGAGAAGTTCCCAGATGCTGGGATGGAACTGACCCAGGAGAACATGTCCCTTGTCCTGGGACAAGGGCAGCAAATTCTTCTTCTTTTTTTTTTAAAGATTATTTATGCATACAAGAGCTGGGGTACAGGCCAGAGGTGTGGGAGGTGAGAAGATTCACCAGAGTGGGAAACAGAACAGGCAGATTATCTGAAATACACTGCTGAGGGGAGCAGCAGGTGAGTCAGGATTGGTCGGCTGCTCCATGTGGGTTGCTGCCTGGCCAGGGATCGAACTCGTGCTGCAGAGGCTGTGGAATGCTTCATAGTGCAGTGCTTAACCCCTTGCGCCACCAGGGAGGAAGGGCAGCAAATTCTAATGCTGGTGCAGTGGAGATTAGTTTTAGGATTTTAGGATAACATTTGAAAGGAGAATGACATTAAACTTTTGAAGTCAAACAGCTGTGTGTACATGGAGCTGGGCTACAGAGCTACAGGCAGATGTTTCCAAAGTTGTCAGTGGATTTCTGGTGTATAGACACCAGCTCCATAGCAGAGCAACTGGAAGGCAGTGGTTTTTAATTTAAGAATCATAGATATCCAGTGATGGGCTTTCGGGGAGTGTCCATGCACCTGCAAAATTGTATATTACCTTTGGAGAGATGTGCTTATGTGCACTTTTTTTCATTGCAGTCTCAAAGAGATACATGAGCCCCATACACTTGATAACTGTGACTGTAAAAATATTTCATGAAATTATTTCTGTGTAGCTCTCCTGTGTGAGCCAGTGGCAGACACTGAGTGCACAGGTCTTCAGGTTTCAGGGATACTCATGGTCTATATAGTTTTCACTTTCCTAATTTTCCTTGCATAGCTATAAAATTGATTCAAATTAACCTTTGTATTGCATACATTACAGACTGGAGTTTTCCATCTGCCACATGGAGATTTTTTTATTGAGCCTGTCAAAAAGCATCCACTGGCTGAGGGAGAGTACCACCCACACATCGTTTACAGGAGGCAGAGGCGGGAAATTCCAGAGATGAAGGCGCCAACGTGTGGTTTAAGAGGTATTGTGATTCAAATCTCTTCACTGGATTGAGGGCTTTGTTTTGTTCTTTTGTTGTTTCATTACAACATGACCTGTTCTTATTCAAATCTCCTCCCCTTTGTATTTCTCCATCTTCAAGTCTCGTGTATTCATACTGGGATGCAAAAAAAAAAAAAATCTGTATCCTTGCCACCATCATATACCAATGATACTCATGGCATTTGTGGTGGCAAATTTGTTTTAACCTCTTCTGAATCCTTTAGAGAAAGTTAAATTGAAGACATGATTTTCAGCATCAGCAGTGTCATAATTCACTAATGTGAAATATTACCAGATAGCTCATTGTATCTGCATATGGAAGACAGATTTAAATGTTTGATGATAATGATGTGTAAGGAGAAACTGAAAAAAATACAACATAATATCAGATGATGAATTGCACTCAGCTGCTTTTGGCTGCATTCTGTTCCTAGTTCCTGGAGGCCTGTTCCCTAGCTCTGTACCCCGGAAGGAGCTGAACTGCTCCTTTCTGCCTTGTACAAAACAGTTTTAGGTAGTTGTCAAAACTAAAATGACCTGAATTATTTCCTTGCATCTCCCACATGCTCTTTAACGTGTAGGAGATAATAGACTATATACCAAAGGGCCGCTGGAAATTGGCACATTTTCTTTTTTGTGTAATTTCTCCTTTCTTCAGAGGAAAAAAGAAAACAATGACTAGAGGAAACAGTTAACAAAAGGAACCTGTAATATTACTTACATCTCTTAAGGACTTCAAAAGGACTAGGCTGTTAGATGGAAGTGCCTGGAGCCTTTGGTTTTAGAAGACACTAGTCAGATAGGTCAGATGACAACAGTTACAGGCGTCAGCTATGGCAGAGAGGGGCCTACACAGGAAAGGTCAGAGTTTGGGATTTCCTACATCAGGACTCACAGCTAGAAACACTGGGTCTAGTTTGTGGCATGCTTATGATCACACCCACTGACCTAAGCATGAAGTGCACCTAAGTGCTGGCTTATGACATGGCCCCTGTCAGTTAATTCCATCATCTCTGCAGAGTAACATGGTATAACGCGCTCTGACCGGTTTCAGCAAACCCAGTACATTTCAATATACCAAGATGTCAGTCTCCAAATATCATATATACTTGAAGACTCCCAGGCACATTTAGATTATTCTTGACTGTCTGGTTACCATTTAAGCATTGGCTCACATTTATTGTCTTAGGGAGGGAGATGGCAACTGACATATGAACAAATACTTCCTCAAAAAAATGCACATTTGTTTTCTTTCCCTACCTGGTTTACATTTTGTTCACCCCGCTGTACCACTCATTCAACAAACAATATACTAGGTATCTTTATGCCTGGGTCTCTCCAAGGCTGTGTGGATAGGATGTAATTCTTGGCCTGAAGAGCTGACATTCTGGTTATAGGATATGGATAATAGGGATCCAATTCTGGCTTTATCTTTATGATATGTGGTTAAGACCATGAAGAGAAATGGAATCTGAATACGTACATTGGGATTTTTGTAACTGCACATTATGTTTGTGCCATAGTGTACTTTACTATATCATCCATTCATTTTCTCTGCTGTATAGTGCTCTATTATGTGACTCTTCCACTTGATTCAGTTTTCTGTAAGTAGATCTGGATTGCTTCCAGTTTGGGGTTATTATAAACTGTGTTGCAAAAACTATTATTTTATGTGTTTCTTCAAACAAAGATTCATAGGGGTTTCAAGACTATGTACCTAATAATGGAATGAAATCAATGTCTCATAGAATATAACTTCTGTGACTTTACCAGATGATTTTACCAGATAAGCATTGGTAAAATGCTTTCCAAAGTTGATGTTCAAAAGCAGTGAATAAGCATTCCCCGTGTTCATATTCTGTGCAAATACTTGGTATTCTTAGTCACCAATCTGGTGGCTCTGAAGTGGTATCTCATTTTGTTGAATTGTTCATGGATAGTTTTTCTCTCTGTACCCTCTACCCAGTTTGTGTTTGCTTGTTTTCCAGTTCACTTTTTCAATAAGTCTTTAATCTGACTTTCTACCCAGATGGGTCCTAATTTTGTTTTTCTCCAGAGTAAAAGTAGGCAGCAGCCAGATGCCCCAGATCAGCTGCTAGCTCCATGCGTCAGTCAGGGTTCACCCAGAGAAATAGAACCTGTACTAAATATATATATTATATGTAATAATATTACATATATGTAATAATATTACATATAATACTATTATATACTAATATATTAATAATATATTATAAATATTATATATATATATATATAAAGAGATTTAGTGCAAGGAATTGGTTTATGTGATCATGGAGGCTGGCTAGGCAAATTGGAAATCCAGGGGGAAGCTGTTAGGAGGGGCAGGCTGGAACTCCCAGGCTCTGCTGAAGCAGAATTACTTCTGGGAAGCCTCAGTGCTGCAAAGAAGGTCTTTCAACTGCTTGAATCAGGTCCATCAGATTATTAATAATCTTATTTACTTAAAGTCAACTAAGGATAGACTTTCATCACAGCTACGAAATAACCTTCACAACAACAACCAGATCAGTGTTTAAATATCTGGTTGACATAAAAAAGATCATTGCCCTGCATCTGTTGCTGTTTTTCTCTGAATTTCTGCTTACTTCCTTTTTTTTTTTTTTAAAGATTTATTTATTTATGCATACAAGAGCTGGAGTACAGGCCAGAGGTATGGGGGTGTGTGTGAGAGAGGATTCACTAGAGACAGAGTGGGGAGCAGAACAGGCAGACTGACTGAAATACACTGCTGAGGGGAGCAGCGGGTGAGACAGGAGAGGTCTGCTGCACCATGTGGGTAGCTCCTTGGCTGGCCAGGGATCAAACTTGTGCTGCAGAGGCTGCGGATAGCTTCATAGTGCAGTGCTTAACCCCCTAGGCCAGGAACGCCCCTTTGTTTACTTGCTTTTAAGTTTTCTTTTTTTCTACATTTGGCCCATTTCCTACATTGGCCCTTTTGTTGTGCCTTGAGTGTTTTTAGGAGCTTAACACTGGGAGAGTTTTTCAGAATATTTAGTCCACCATATTGTAAGAATTCAGCCTTTAGTGGATTCCTTGTCTAGGACATTTGGAAATCTTTGAGTTGCTTTTTAACTGGCAGGCAGAGACATTATTAAATATTAGCAAATGCCAAATACAGTAATGCTAATGGCAGCACATTAGAACTAATTAGTAGATCAGGTCACTAATCTGATATAACCTGGGGAGCTTTCATGGAAACCCATTGAAACTAAAGTAGATTCTCAACAACCATTATAAGCTGCATTGAGTCTCAGCTGTGCTGCTAGTTCTCTTTGGCTAATAGCAAAATTTCTTGGAACAACCAGCCTGAGATTTGCCTCGAGTTTCTTGATTACCTGATTGCCTCCTGATTAGAGAGCTCTGAAACATTCTGTGCTGTGCTTTGCTATGAGGTGGCACAACAGTTTCATACTTCCATGCTTCTTTTTTAATTTTAATGAAGTGCCATATTGTTTTTGATTACCAGTTTTCAGAACTGGCGGGAGGATTGGTAAAGTGCTTCCAAGTCGATACCAGTGAAAGGGCTGAGAAGACTTTTGAGAAAATTTGGGGAAATACTACTTAAATTGTAAATGTACAGGAAGTTAAAATGGCCACCCTGTTGGTTTTGCTTGCTCAATAAAATGCAAGCTGAATAGCCTGACAACTCGAGTACCCGACACCTGGGCAGAACTGCTCATGCTCTGAAATACTCATCATCTGGTCGAGGGACTTCATTCACAGCCAGGCCGCACCATGCAAGCCCTTTCTTTGCGTTTCCTCAGCAGTTGACACTTGCTGCCCTGTTCCTTCAACATTTCATGTATGTAGGTTTCCACGTCCCAGCAGAAACAGCTTCACAGGGAAACTTGTCATCTGTTTTTCTCACCTGCTCCAGGACGCTCTGTGCTGACAGAATGGCCAGGACTGTTCTGGAGTGTGGGTGAAACTTGAACAGGTGGAGAACACTGGGGAATTTGTTGGGAAGGGAATTCGGATCATTCTAGACCAGGAAGGAGATTTGGATCAAAAGGAGGAAAGGATCACTTTTGACAAAAAGATGGTTCTCTTAGAGGACAGAAAATCCTAATTCTGAAAAAACACTTTTGAGATGTTTATTACCTAAGTTCTGTTGAACTTTCCATAGCTCTGTAGGGAAGTTTTGACTAGTAGCAGCTGCCAGCTTTGCTCTGGGGCATTCCTGTGCTTGCATGTACTTTGGGTGGTATAGAAGGAGGCATATCCTATTCTGGTCGATTTTTCTGGCTTCTTCCTACCACCTGCAGAGACTTCAGGCTGTCTCCTTTCTATCCCACCATGGTCTGCAAGGGCCCTCACACTGCTGAACTTGTATTCTCTCACTGAACTAATCTTTGTATTCTACGTCCCAAGGATATTTGTGTCCTAAATATCAAGTCTGATATTGGATATGTAATAATTCCCCTTTGACAAATGCTTGTTCACTGAACCAATGAATGGTGTGTATTTGCAGCCACTAGGGTCTTGCTGATGTACATAGATACCCATCCTGTCTGCCTCCGGGTCTGAGGGTTCCAAGTCTGAATCAGTGAGGCAAGGCAAATGTGTTCTTTTTGAGAGCAATTAATGTTAACTATGTATTTGTCCCACAGCTTGATTAATACCATGTTTGGGAAAACAAACATTCCCACCCCCACACAGTCCCATTTCTGTGCAGCAGCTGAAAGTCTCATAAATCACTTGTAAAATTGTTTCTTTTTGAGGAAGGAAGTTTGTTAGATTTGAAATCAAATATTTGAGGAAATCATCAATATACTTTGTGTTCTAAATCCTCTCTCCAAAGGCAGAGAAGTGGGTCCCTCAAATACTTATTGAGCAATAATCCAAAATCTAGACAGTTCCAGAATTTTATTTATGTTAGTTTGTGTGTCATTGATTGACTTTCCTTCCTTAAAAAATACTAATTTGGTGCCTTCTATGGGCCAGATACTAAGGGAC